CCTCCGGAGAGAGTCACATGACTCCACGCCTGATCATCCCTCCCCACCCCCACCCCAAGCAGCTTTCGTCGCACTGCACTGACTGGAGTAGCTGATTTTTATATTGCCTGCTTGCTCTTGACAACAAAGCTGTGTTTGATTTTTAATTCTGTTCTTTACTGATTAATAACACAACACATGAGGGAGGCAGCTCAGGAGCCAGATTATAGACCTGGGCAGGCCGGTTCCAGCCCGTTGGCCGTATGTTTGACAGCCCTGCTCTAGCTGGCAGTGTAGGCCCAGGCAAAAGAACAGATAAAAGATGGCCTAATTTCCACCATAACAACTTTTCTGCATTAACGTGTCATGGCTAATACTTAATGCAGTGTTGCAGATTGCTGTAATCCCAGTACTATTACATTACTTATTAGGTGTCTCATCGTATTTGTTATGTATTGATGAATCACTGCATTCACTTTCTATGCAAAGCTTCGAGCCAGACGAAGGCTCCTCAGAACTGCATTGCTACTGGTCGCTCTGTTTCAGCGTCCAATCAGAACAATTTGTTAAATTCTCAAAAAGGTCAACAAGAGACTTAATCCTGAAAGTGACAAGCGGAACTGTTTTGAAAATCCAAGGAGAACAAACTAAAATTTTAAACGTCATTCCATTTGAGATCAGAAAAAGAAGAAGACAGTACAGAGACCTGACACGGTTTCTTCAAGAACACAACACCCCATAGAGATGGTTAACCCCGGAAGGGCTTACTTTCAACTTCAATGGCAAAAAAAGAAAAAATTGATTCTTGTCTTCAAAGTGAAAAAATTTCTTGAGCACCAACAAGATAAAGATGGATTTGAGAAACTGGAGGACGACAGGGATGCAGAAAAAGAAGAAGATAAAACTGAGGAAAGTTCTACCAACTCTTCGTCAGCTGAATCCTTAGATTTTGAAGCAGAACTAGGGGCTACGGCTCCTAAGCCCCCTAAAAATAAAAAGGACTTTGAAAAGAAATGTAGAGGAAGGAAATAAGTAAAATAATGAAACTCTAATGGTCTGATAATAATCATGAACTAAGAAGCATACACTCTAACCAAATTTGTTTGCGAGTACCCGCTCAATCGTCTATATAACTATTGTATTAACTCTCATGTATTACTACTTTGACAATAGGGAATTATCCTTATTTTAAAAAAATTGTATTAATGATATTTTGCTACTCGTAGTTTTAGTTTGTTCCCATCCCCAAACCCTATAGGTGTGTAGTTTAGAAAAGCAATAAAAATGTTTTTTTTAAAAAAAGGAAAAGTATAGTTCTTAATCCTGACAGTTTCCACCCACTTTCAGTGTAGCAATAGTAAGATTGTGAAGCCTCTGTTGGGCCCAACATACTTGCTGGGCTCCAATTTACATTTTGGGGGGAAAGTGTGTCTCTATTTTATTTTACTTGGGTCTATATATCCTTGATTGAGAACAGTTGTATTTTTCAAGGGGGGGCTCTTATTTCAACCACTCCTAAGCTTTTCTTTCAATTTCCATTTCATTTTTAAATGGTAAGCCTATTTGCATGAACAAGATTGGGAGGGGCATGCAGATCAGAGGCCTTTTAGAATTTCCTTTTTCCTGTGTGCAGCCCAGAGAGAACATTGGCAAGGAATGTGCACTCCGTACCTGTTTGCGCTCTTCATTTTGCTGTTACTTAAAATGGTGTGGTACAGTTTCAAAGGGGCAACTAACTGGGATGTAGGTGCCACTGCATTCTTCTAGTACAAGGCACTTTCACATTTATCTTGTACAAGCGGAAGTGCTTAACACCAGAGGAATGCACTCTGCAGTGGACTCCTTCCACAACAGAGACAAAGTCTAAGATCCAATCATATGTTTTAAAAGAAATATAGAAGAAGACCCTATTTTATATCAAACAGAAACCACACTATCACCCTGACCTGGATTAGCCCAGGCTAGCCCAATTTTGTCAGCTCTGAAAAGCTAAGCAGGGTTGGCTTTGGCTAGTATTTGGATGGGTGACCTCCAAGAAATACCAGGGGCGTGACATAGAGGCAGGCAATGGCAAACCACCTCTGAAACTTCTCTTGCCTTAAAAAAAACAAGTTTAGCTCACCACCTAGTGGTGCATAATGCTAAAAGAGGTAGAACGTCTGACTGCCAGACAATTTTAGGATCTCCTGGCTATACTACAAACAGTGCGGTATGATAATTAATCACCACACTGTCATTCCATTATTTTCTCTTTCATTTTATCATATAAAACAAACATGTTTTTAAAGAAAACATTTTAAAAAGCATTCCAATAGTTAACTGAAAAGTAGCATTATATTTAGATATTCAGTTTAATCTATAACAACAATGAAATTCCCCAGAGTATGTCATTATTCACAGGATGAATACACTTGGGAAAAATCCCCACTTAGGTCAATGGGACGATCCTGAGTATACATATATAGAAGAGAACTTCAAGGACCCCGTGAGAAAATTACCTTTCCTGAATACGTATTCATTTACTTGATATATACTGCACTGCATCTCATAAATAATATATTCTTTAAATTACTATCCTAAATCAAAGTATATTCTTCTAATCCACTTCTGAAACAATCGCATATTCTGAGTCTGAATTTATAAAAAGAACAGTTGTAAAGATTTTTTTCTAGTCACGTTTATTCAAACATTACCCAGAAGCCACAACTAAATCTAATTGTCTTTAAATACACCTTCCAACTCTAATGGAGACCTCTTAACCAGGTTCCTATATGATAAAAAGGAAAAGAAATGCAATAACTTATTGAGATATGATGATGTACAACAATAAAAGATCAAAGTTGCAGGCGCTTCCAAAGAGGATTTCAACATAAAAGTAGCTAAGAAAATCTTGCTGTAAATCTTGCCTCTTCTGTTATCTTATAAAGTGGGTGTGTTCACCCTCCTTCTGACCTTTAAAGGTCACTGAGAAACAACATCATAGTCTCGTCTGGCAAGTGTTGACTTATAGTCCTGCTGGAATATGTCTCTAAGTAATAACTGTCATTATAACCTTTCCTTACATTTGTAATGTTCCTCTGCTTTGGTCACAGCTCTAGAAGATCTAGGCTGCTTTCACACACATTGGATAATGCACTCACAATGCACTTTAGCAATTGTTTGCCACTAGATTCTCCTGTTTCAACACAGGAAAATCCAGTTACAAATGACTGCTGTGCTGTAGTGCATTGAGAATGCATTATTCAAAAATGTATGAAAGCAGCCCCATTCAGCCACCATAGAAAGGTAACTGCGGCCCAAGTTGGAAAAGACAATTCTCCCTCCATGCCACAGAGGAGGAAAAAGTCATCTGAAAAAGTCTGCAGGTAGTTGATTTCAACTTAATGTATAACACTTTTCCCTCTCTGGATTAGCTGTACTAACTATTGGGGGCCTTTCTTCTGACTTCCATATTCTGCCCCAGAGTGTTGCCCATCCTTGACAGAGCCCTTTGGAGTGCCTCACAATCCTCACTGGTTTTCACCACCCTGAACAACTTCGTATCATCCGCAAATTTAGCCACTTCAATGCTTACTCCAAACTCCAAATCATTAATGAACAAGTTAAAAAGCAGTGAACCAAGTACTGATCCCTGCGGTACCCCACTGCTTACCACCCTCCACTGAGAAAATTGCCCATTTATACTCACTCTCTGTTTTCTATTAATTAGCCAGTTTTTGATCCATAAAAGGACTTATCCTTTTATCCCATGATTTTTGAGCTTACTTAGGAGCTCTTAAAGTGACTATTCTAAAAGTGAATTTTAAAAAAGGACACAGCAGGAGACTGCTGAAATATGACTATAACCACTGGCCAACTCTCACGTTTTCCTGGGTTTAGCCCAGCCCAGGGGCATAGCTAAGGGGGTTCCCATGGGTTCCCAGACACCCCTATATTTCTGGGGAGCACCTTCCTAAATCCAACATGGCTTCACCTCCATGGATAATGACAATGGCCTGTAATGTCACTGGGCCTCAGTTCTTTCAAGGACCCTGCATAGCAATGCCTCTGGCCCAGCCCCCACCCACGAAATTGGAAAGTCTATGCCCCTGATTTGATTGCCTTTTAATTTGCTTTGAGTTCCGTTGAGGAGGAAAGCAGTGAATAAACATGCTGTTTTGCACTAACATTGCTGCAACTGCTGCCAGAGTTGGGGTTGTTGGTCTACTTATACGAGAGCTTTTTATACATATAAACTAGCTGCAGTAATAATCTACACAGAATCAGATACAAAAACCCATTCAAAGAGACAACAGTAGTGTCATGGTTACTTCAACCAAGAAACTTGTGTCAGGATGTTGTTATTTGGACCCAGTGTTTTTACCATGTTACTAAAACGTGCTTGTCACCAAAGATTTGTACAAAGATCACTGACTCCACATGGTAAATTACTGCACAGAAAAGTCTTGGCACATACAGAAATCTCCATACAGTAGCAATTCAAAGGGCCGCCATAGCTTTGCTTATTTTTGTGAAAAGGTCTTGTAACTTAACTAAGTATATGCATTTTCATAGCCTTTCAACCTCCTGTCAAATCCTTATCCAATGTCATTTTTCTCTAAACTTTCTCTAGGTGCTCCTAATAAAATGTATGAAATGGAGCAGACTATTCTAATTTTAAATTTAAACAATTTAAGGAAAGTGGGTTGACAAATGTCCTTTAGTAGCATGATCTGCTTCAAAGAATTTCTCAGTTACAATTACAATAGGGATTACGGTTCTCAGGCTTTGTGGCTTTCCGCTGTTTTTAAGCCAACCAAACAGAAAGACCCTTCAAAGAGTGCAAGTATAGAATCTCCATAAAGAAACAAAATGCTAAAGAATAGATGGATATAATCCAGAGTGCAGAAGCTGGGAGTTTACTGTTCACACAATCCTCTTATAAAAACATTCACTTTGCACTTTCTAGATGTATGGAAATGCAAGTGATACACCAAAGCAGGGAGTAAAAATCCTTTGCCCAAGAAAACGCCAAAACAAGACAGAAGCTGAAGCTAGTTCTTGCATAACAACGATGCAGTGAAGATGTAAAATTTTCCAGCAGTGCTGAAGCAATGGATGGTATGGGGGAAACACACACACATTTTTTTCTATTTTGTTCAGGGAGAAAAAAAATGGAACATTTGGGGGAAACTGAATTTCTTGTCAAACCTAAACTTCTATTACTTGTTTCTGTATAGTGTATACAATTGTACTGATTGGCATATTTATGAATCTTAAAAATATAAATGTGCTAGTTTCATTACACAACAGTGATTACAAATATGCACAGTTTGTGATGGAGCTGCAAGCTGCTGTATATAGAAGAAACCCATTCCTTGGGTCCTAAACCTTCTTCATTCATTGCTGATAGCCTCTGCAGCAGACTGCATTCTTCTAGTACAAGGCACTTTCACATTTATCTTGTACAAGCGGAAGTGCTTAACACCAGAGGAATGCACTCTGCAGTGGACTCCTTCCACAACAGAGACAAAGTCTAAGATCCAATCATATGTTTTAAAAGAAATATAGAAGAAGACCCTATTTTATATCAAACAGAAACCACACTATCACCCTGACCTGGATTAGCCCAGGCTAGCCCAATTTTGTCAGATCTGAAAAGCTAAGCAGGGTTGGCTTTGGCTAGTATTTGGATGGGTGACCTCCAAGAAATACCAGGGGCGTGACATAGAGGCAGGCAATGGCAAACCACCTCTGAAACTTCTCTTGCCTTAAAAAAAACAAGTTTAGCTCACCACCTAGTGGTGCATAATGCTAAAAGAGGTAGAACGTCTGACTGCCAGACAATTTTAGGATCTCCTGGCTATACTACAAACAGTGCGGTATGATAATTAATCACCACACTGTCATTCCATTATTTTCTCTTTCATTTTATCATATAAAACAAACATGTTTTTAAAGAAAACATTTTAAAAAGCATTCCAATAGTTAACTGAAAAGTAGCATTATATTTAGATATTCAGTTTAATCTATAACAACAATGAAATTCCCCAGAGTATGTCATTATTCACAGGATGAATACACTTGGGAAAAATCCCCACTTAGGTCAATGGGACGATCCTGAGTATACATATATAGAAGAGAACTTCAAGGACCCCGTGAGAAAATTACCTTTCCTGAATACGTATTCATTTACTTGATATATACTGCACTGCATCTCATAAATAATATATTCTTTAAATTACTATCCTAAATCAAAGTATATTCTTCTAATCCACTTCTGAAACAATCGCATATTCTGAGTCTGAATTTATAAAAAGAACAGTTGTAAAGATTTTTTTCTAGTCACGTTTATTCAAACATTACCCAGAAGCCACAACTAAATCTAATTGTCTTTAAATACACCTTCCAACTCTAATGGAGACCTCTTAACCAGGTTCCTATATGATAAAAAGGAAAAGAAATGCAATAACTTATTGAGATATGATGATGTACAACAATAAAAGATCAAAGTTGCAGGCGCTTCCAAAGAGGATTTCAACATAAAAGTAGCTAAGAAAATCTTGCTGTAAATCTTGCCTCTTCTGTTATCTTATAAAGTGGGTGTGTTCACCCTCCTTCTGACCTTTAAAGGTCACTGAGAAACAACATCATAGTCTCGTCTGGCAAGTGTTGACTTATAGTCCTGCTGGAATATGTCTCTAAGTAATAACTGTCATTATAACCTTTCCTTACATTTGTAATGTTCCTCTGCTTTGGTCACAGCTCTAGAAGATCTAGGCTGCTTTCACACACATTGGATAATGCACTCACAATGCACTTTAGCAATTGTTTGCCACTAGATTCTCCTGTTTCAACACAGGAAAATCCAGTTACAAATGACTGCTGTGCTGTAGTGCATTGAGAATGCATTATTCAAAAATGTATGAAAGCAGCCCCATTCAGCCACCATAGAAAGGTAACTGCGGCCCAAGTTGGAAAAGACAATTCTCCCTCCATGCCACAGAGGAGGAAAAAGTCATCTGAAAAAGTCTGCAGGTAGTTGATTTCAACTTAATGTATAACACTTTTCCCTCTCTGGATTAGCTGTACTAACTATTGGGGGCCTTTCTTCTGACTTCCATATTCTGCCCCAGAGTGTCAACATTCAGATAATGTGATATATCACCATTTTTATTAAATTCAGTACAAGAATCCTCAAATGTTGTTAATGGATTTGGATTAGAATTTGAATCCTCTGCACTAAGGGTACTTGGGGTAAATTACATCCTTTTTACTGGCTTTCTGACAAACACCACCAGGTTTCTGAACATCCAGCAGAGATTTTTTCCAACTCCTTCATTGCCATGACAGCAGTTCTGCTAGCCAGAATCTACAGAGAGTGCTGTGATGATACAAAAGGAAAAATAAACCCTACCTTGTTAGAAGATGGGAGGGTAAGCTATGATCAAAAACAAAATGGAGGGGGTAGGAAAAAAGAAAACACAGCAACAAAGATGAATATAGCTGAATAACCATTGTGGTTAATGTAATATGAACAAGATAAATTGATATTTATCTTTATAAACAGAACAAGATAAATTGATATTTATCTTTATTTTCTTTTAGGCACCAGGCTAAAAAACATCTTTTTCACTCAGGATTTTAGTTAGGGGTTTTATCTTATTAGCTTCTTAATAGTCAGTTCTGTTTTATGGACAGTTTTTATACTGCTTATATCAAATGGCTTGTTTTTTACATTATGGTTTTTAAGTGTAAGTGCCTTGATCAGGACTCTGAAGGAGAGGCATAGAAATATTCTAAATAAATACATACTGTAATGTATTCAATAGCTGCCATTGAATGCATAACGTGTATGTAAATCACCTCGTTGAAGTGTCATGTAAAGCTTCGTCCTGGGCTAGGATCCAAATCCCTCCAATAGTATTGGAAGCCCAGGAAGAACCAACCAATCAGGTACCAGCAAGCTCCCTGAGCGGGAACATCTATGGTAGGTCCTTATGTACACCATCTTATTGGTTGGTATTTGTACAGTAGGCATGGCTATATTAGCCGGGAGAGTTTAAAAGCAGAACAGCTGCAATGTAAAAGCTGTTCTGGCTATTCATGTTGATCTGTGTTTGAGTTGTGTTCGAGTTGTTGAATAAAGCTGAATCTTTGCTGAATCACTCTCTGACTATTTTGTTAAGTGAGCGACTTAACACATACATAATTAAAACTCTATGCATTTCTCATGCAAAATAAAAAGTTTCCTATAAAACAAGTCAAAGCTCTTGAAATTTTGATTCTGAATTCCACCCATTCACCAACAGGTCAATTCTAATTTTAGCGCTGGCTACAAACAAAAGCACCTTGGAAACTTGGAGCATTATAGGACATTTTAAAGCAAGCTGCAGAGCAGAGAAGTCACAAGGGTCTACATAACCTTCAAGATTCTGCAGAAGACCTGGAGAGCACACTCTGAGGAGGGAAGCTTCTGACTGTCAAATGTCAGCTTGCTTCTGAAGAGCCCAGTAAGAAGCAAGCAATGGGAATTGTGTTTCTGAACCTGAGCTTGGGTAATTAGAATTGCACTTCACGCTGAATAGTTTAAGAAACACTCCTCTAAGGAGGGCAGATACTTACTGCAGTTTTCTTCATCACTGCCATCAGGACAATCTTCAAAGCCATTACATCGAAAGCGACCAATGATGCAGTGAATTCCACTTGCACAGGGAAAGAAGGTGGAGCCACATTTAGATTTGGCTTTTGCTGTGGGGGGAGAAGAAAATGAAACAGTAAGAATTAGGAAGACATCTCCATCATGAAAGGTGTAACAGGAGGAGCTACAAGGCTCACAAATGCTTCCACTGTTCAGTTAAAAAGCTTAGAAATGTAAAAACGGGTTGTTTACCTGTAACTGATGCTCTTCGAGTGGTCATCTGTGCATTCACACCCATGGGATCTAGTGCGCACGTGCTGGATCGATCGGCATTGTAGCAAGCTCTTTAACGGATTTTCGCGCCCAGTCCCTCGGGCATGCGCAGGAACCCCACCGCACATGCCCAGAGGGGTGGGCACGGACATCCCGTCAGTTCCTTCGAACCGTGCAAATCAACCCCTATGGAAAATGTAGAAGTTGACAGCAGCGGGGAAGCAGGGCGGGTGGTGTGAATGCACAGATGACCACTCGAAGATCATCAGTTACAGGTAAGCAACCTGTTTATCTTCGACGTGGTCTCTGTGCTTTACACCCATGGGAGATTAGCGAGCAGTGGCCTGCCTGGAGGAGGGTGCTGGCAGGTCCTTGCTGCGTCGCTGAAGAAAGAATGTGACATCCCATGTTGGTATTAGAGTTCTTACAGATGTCCAGGGGGTAATGCCTCATGAAGGTGTTAGGCGTGGCCCAGATAGCAGCCTTGCAGATGTCCGTCAGGGGTACTCCCTGGAGGAAGGCAGTGGAAGCCGCAACAGCCCGGGTTGAATGGGTCTTGATGGGGCCAGGCAACGGCTGCTTTGCAATCAAGTAGCAGAGGTGGATGAGACCCGCAATCCACTTTGAGAGGCATTGAGCCATGATGCGAGGCCCCAGCCTTGCTGGTGCATATGAGACGAACAGTTGGGAGTCACGTCTCGTTGGACGGGGGCTGTTGAGGTAGAACAGTAGTGCCCTTTTGACATCCAAGGTATGTAACAGTCTGTCCTCTGGGGATTTTGGAGCTGGGAAGAAATCCAGGAGGAAGACTGCAGGTGGAACTCAGCTGGAAGGAGATGTCCAGTACGAGGCGGACACCGTCTGGCAAGAATGACAAATAAGGCGTGTCATGCTGGAAAGCCAGTATTTCTCCAACTCGCCTTGCAGAGGTGATGGCCACTAGAAAGGCCGTCTTCCAAGACAGGAATTTCATAACGCAAGTTGCGAGTGGCTCAAAGGGTTTCCTTGTAAGTTGACGAAGGACCCAGGGAGCGACAGGAGTCTTGACAAGAGGGTAGAGGTGTAACAAACCTTTTAAAAAACATTTAGAAAGCGGATGTGAAAACATGGTGCATCCGTCGACGTGAACATGGTAGGCCAAAATTGCGGCCAAATAAACTTTTAACGACGAATGGGAAAGTCCCGAGTCAGCGAGGGACGGGAGGAATTGGAAAACTTTCTCGAGGCCTGCGGAGGAGGCTCGAGGGGCATCATCACCTAGGGAAGAACAGAATAGTTGCCATTGGTTACGCGGGTTGAAAAACCTTTGACGTTATTCTCTACGCCATCAATTTCAAACATGTTACGTTGTGATGTAGGAGAGGGGAGTCTGACAAGAAGAGGAGGTCCTGTATCGTACCACTCTCAGAAGCAGGAGTAAGGAAGGGAAAAGATGAAGGCCTGTGGACCAGGGAAGGAGGAGACCGTCTCCGAGCGATTGTGAGTCCTTGCCGCCTCAACTGCAGAACATAGGACATTTTTTGTTGGCTCTGGTGGTGAAAACATCGACTTGGGGAGTTCCCCACCTGTGGAAGAGCGGGAAAAGATAGGACAGGTTCATCTCCCACTCATGGAGACTGAGCCTTGCTCGACTTAAATGATCTGCCTGCACATTCAGCTGACCTGGGATATGCGTGGTTACCAAAAGATGTCATGGACGTTGCAAAAGTCCCATAACTGAATGGTGAGGTTGCAGAGACGTAGGGAGACCGTGCCTCCTTGTTTGTTTATATAACTGAGTGCGGTGGTAATGTCCATGAGGACTGTAATACATTTCCCTTTGATTATTGGTAGGAAACTCGTGACTGCGAACTTAATTGCGAGCAGTTCCAGGAATTTTATGTGTCGACCTCGCTCGTGGGTGTTCCACTTGTCCCCGACGCACAGACCCATCATGTGTGCACCCCATCTCGACAGGGAAGCATCCGTGGTCAGGATGATTTGGGGTGACGGAGGGTGGAAGGGTGCTCCCTGGAAGATATTGGAAGGGACAGTCCACCAAAGTAACGAGTCTCGTATGTTGGGAGGGGGGAGAGGACGACAGTGTGAGTGTTGTTCGCTGGATTGTAATTCCGGATGAACCATAGTTGTAAACGACGCATTTTCAGTTTGGGAAAGACGAGAACCGACGTAGTTGCAGCCATAAGGCCAAGTAGCCTTTGGATTTGGAAGGCAGTGACAGAAGGGTGGGTACGGACGATGGTGGCTAAGGAAATTATGTCTGCCGCTCTGTCTTGAGGCAGGTAAGCCATGCATGTTGTGGAGTCTAGTATAGCACCGATGTACTTTATTCTTTGGGCTGGACTCAATTGAGACTTTTCTCGATTGACTTGTAGGCCCAGATTTTTTAGTAGTGCCAGTGTCTCAGTGATGTTTGAGACAAGGGCGTTCTGGGAAGGCGCTATCAAAAGCCAATCATCGGTATATGGGTAAACGGAGAAACCCCGGAGATGAAGGAAAGCCGCAACCACAATCGTAGTCTTCGTGAAGACTCTTGGGGCGCTGGACAGGCCGAATGGCAGGGCTGCATACTGGTAATGCTGTTGACCAATCGCGAAGCGTAGGTATTGGCGGTGGGAGGGGTGGATGGTGAGGTGGAAGTACGCATCTTGGAGGTCAAGGGTGGCCATCCAGATGTGTTTCCGTAGCAGTGGCATAATCTGCTGTAAGGACACCATGCGGAAGCGATGGTAGGTTACAAAACAGTTCAGTGCCCTTAGATATAAAATGGGTCGAACGCCTCCATCTCTCTTCGGGACTGTGAAGTATCGGGAATAAAATCTTGTCTCTTGGAGGTGTGGTGGTACCTGTTCGATGGCTCCCTTCTGCAGAAGGACGAACATCTCTTCCAGGTGAGGTGGGGAAGGGGGTGTGGAGACGACGACAGGAGTAATGGGGTTCTGGTGGATTTGGATACGGTAGCCTCGGGTCAAGATTGACAGCACCCATTCGTCCGAGGTGATGTGACGCTAAGTATGAAGGAAGGGTGATAGACGGGTTTGAACTGACTC